ATCATAAGTTAGCTATGGAGGACCACGAGACTCAAGATGAGGTTGTTACTTTATACAGGGTGTTCCCAAAATCCATCTCCACCCAACCTAAAAGAGGGGATTTCCGCCCCCAGACCAAGCAGAGAGGGGCCACCCAGAACCCCCTCTGACTGGCAATCTGAATTCTTGCTTAGGCTAACCCTGAGGCTAACCACTGCAAGGGAATATAAATAAAAGTTAAAAATATCTCTCTGGGTTCCGAGGGACAACCCTGACTGCATAGGGGATGAGGTCAAAAGTATCCCCTCTCCAGGAAAAAGCTATCGGGACGGGTATGGCCCTCATGCCTCACTGGACAACAACAGGGGAACTGGAGCCATTACAAGGTCCCCTTCAAGTACTGGAGGTTAGGCCTCTATCCCCGCCTTCGCAAGATTAGAATTGCCACAACCCTTCTATACTTAGACAAGGGAGGAGATGTCAGGGACATCCCTGCTTACACACTGAAGGCCTAAAATCAGCCATAGGCCTAAAATCAGCAATAGGCCTGTCATACATGTATACTAACACCAAGTCTTGGGTCTCTGTGGAAAAACATTGAAACAGATGGCTATAAGCTATTGTTTTTTTTTTTTTTTAAAGATTTATTTATTTATTTCATGTATGTGGGTACACTGGCTGTCTTCAGACATACCAGAAGAGGGCATCGCATCCAATTACAGATAGTTGTGAGCCACCATGTGGTTGCTGGGATTTGAACTCAAGACCTCTGGAAGAGCAGTCAGTGCTCTTAACCACTGAGCCATCTCTCCAGCCCCGGCTATAAGCTATTGTAATCAGGCAGCTTTCATGGAAATTTACCAGCCTGAGGAGTCATAGACCTTGTAAATAGGTAGCCTTGGCAGATAATACCAACTTAGATAAGGACAAGTGAATCATAGGCAGAGTCATAGTGATCTGTCCCCTGAACCTTCACCTAGCCAATACCCTGTTCTGAAAGATATCTGTACTCCTCCTGAACACCCACACCCCAGTGTCATCCCCTTCCTCACATCCTGCCTTTCTGTGTTTATAACCCCTGCGTGAATGAATTACGATTTGAAAAAAATAAATATATTATTAAAAAAACAACAAAAAAATAAAAAGCTGAAGTCATTTTTAAATCAAGTTTTGAAACTTTTCAATTATTTCAAATAACATTTTGAAACATTTTGTTGTTGGATTTTGTGTTGAATCAAATGGGGTTATATTTAGAAACAAAACACAAAGTTTATATGAATATTTAAGACTCAATATACAGCAAACAAGTATTGCTGCAGCTGCCTTGCCCTGTACCCGCTGTTCCCCCCATCTCTCTAGGGCCCCAGCGACCACTGGATTACTAAGGGGGAGAATCACTTTTGAGTGGGCAAAGATTTAGGTTTAGGGGAAGGAAGGGCAGGAGGTTGAGGCAACGTATGCTCAGCCTTTGGTGGCAACAGAGAACAGGTGAGTTCAGGACACTCCAGTGTATTCATCTCTCGTACCACTTGGGATCTGCAAGTCTCCCAGCTGCAATTGGTCAGTGAAGCTCACGGAGATGAAGAGGTTCTCGAGGGCATGAGCAGATGGGCCTGAGTGAGAAGGCAAACATTAACTAGGAAGTCTGAGGCTGGAGACATGGCTCGACAGTTAAGGGCACATGCTGCTCTTGCAGATGGACTGAGTTGCAGCCCCAGCACACACATTGGACTGTTTACAGCTGTTTGGGACTTCTTCTCCAGGGGATCCAAGCAGCACCCTCCTCTGCCTCCAGGGCACCAGGTATGTACATGGTGCACACACATACATGTATACTAATATCCATACACGTAAAATAAAGCTAAGTAAATCATGAGCCAAGCACAGTGGTGCATACCTCTCTCCAATCTTAGCTCTCAGGAGGTAGAGGCAAATGGATCTCTGAGATGTGAAGCCATCTGGTCTCTACTGCATTCCAGGATAGTCAGGGCTACATCACGAATACATATATTCATTCTCTGGAGTGTCAGCTATTACCCCACAGTTTGTGCTTTCGGTGGTGGTAGGGGCAGGGAGCCCTTTCCAGGGACCCTCACTTTGTACTCTTAAACACATGTGGCTTGTTCCCTTATCTCTGTAGAAAGAGCTTCCTGAGGCTAATAGTCACGTGGAGATCTCTCAGATCAGAGGCAGGTACTGCTCAACAATGCCAGCTTCAGTGGCAGTCATGTCTGCAGAGGAAAGCTAAAGTGACATCAGCCTGGACAGAGGGGGAAGTAAAGTGACATCAGCCTGGACAGAGGGGGAAGTAAAGTGACATCACCCTGGACAGAGACGGAAGTCTTGGAAAGTGCAGAAATCAATAGTCGCTGCATTGGTCTGGCTGACGGTCAAACCAAAGCACCCTGATGTGGAAATGGCATTTCAGAAGTAATGGATCTGACCTGATTGATCTTTGTCATCAGTCTCCGTCTGGCTCCTCTGCTTCGGAGTTTCTCCACCCTTAACTCCTCTCATACCTCTTAAGCAAATCTGAGGGGCTTTCTCTTGAGTTTCATTTTTCCAGAGTCATCTTCATTAACCATTTTCTCTCCCTCTCTCTTTTTCTGTAACCCAGGCTGGTCTTCAATGCACCACACACCTGAGGCTAGCCTTGAACTCCTTGTCTTCCTAGCTCAGCCTCTCAAAGGCTTAGATTACAAATGTGTGTTCTCAGACCTGGTTGGGTCTGTTCTTTTTTGTTTGTTTTTTGAGAGAGGGTTTCTCTGTGGAGCCCTGGCTGCCCTGGAACTCACTCGGTTGACCTGGCTGGCTTTGAACTCAGAGTCTCCTGAGTGCTGGGAGGGTTTATCTTTTTTTTTGTTTTGTTTTGTTTTGTTTTTTGAGAGAGGGTTTCTCTTTGTAGTCCTGGCTGTCCTGGAACTCACTCTGTAGACCAGGCTGGCCTTGAACTCAGAAATCTGCCTGCCTTTTTTTTTTTTTTTTTTTTAGAAAAACCAACCAAGCTGGGTGGAGGTGGTGCACACCTTTAATCCCAGCACTTGGGAGGCAGAGGCAGGCAGATTTCTGAGTTCGAGAGTTCGAGGCTAGCCTGGTCTACAGAGTGAGTTCCAGGACAGCCTGGGCTATACAGAGGAATCCTGTCTCGAAAAACCAAAAAAAAAAAAGAAAGAAAGAAAGAAAGAAAAAGAAAGAAAGAAAAAAGAAAATAAAAAACAACCAAATAAATAAACAAATAAATAAAATCTTTAGCCAGGCAGTGGTGGGACATCCTTTAATGTACACTTGGGAAGCAGAGGCAGGTGGATCTCTATGAGTTCAAGGCCAGCCTGGTCTGCAGAACAAGTTCCAGGACAACAGCCAGAGCTACCTACACAAAGAAACCCTGTCTCTAAAAACAAAACAAGACAAAAATAATATTTAAAATGTTCTCATATTTCCTGATGTATTTATTTCTTGATTGTGTGTATTTGTGTAGGCACATGGGCACGGCATGCCTGTGGAGGTCACAGGATAGGGAAATGAGGCTGTTAGTTATTACCGGGTGGTCAGCTTTGGTGGAAAACACGTTTGCGTGCCAGGGCATCACACAGGACCTGGGTTTGGTGTTTTGTGTGTTTGTTTTTTTAATTCTTACATTTATTTTTTTCTTTGGGGAAGGAGGGCCCATGCTGCAGGGCACATGTGGAAGTCAGAGGAGAGTTGCTGAGAGTCTGGTCTATCCTTCCACCATGTGCGTACTGAGACTCAAACTCGGGAAATTAGGCCAAGTGTGGTGGTACACGCCTTTGTTCCTGGCACTTGGCACTTGGGAGGCAGAGGCAGGTGGATCTCTGTGAGTTCCAGACCACACATATATACACACACATGAAAAATGCAGGTTATCAGGCCTGAAAGCAAGTGGTTTTACCTACTGAGACGTTTCCCTGGCCCCTGGGCTTGTTTTCTGATCATAGATGATCTAATAACACTCTAAGTATCTGTAAGTCACAGACGACGTTCTAGCCTGACCAGCCGTGGTGGTACACTTCCATACTCACAGTGTCTAAGAGGCGGAGGCAGGAGGATCCAGAGAAATCTAATGCCAGTCTTCATTACATCCATACCAACTTCCAACACATAATTACACACACATCCCAGAGAACCCCACAAGACAAAATAAAAACAGGGAAGAGAGGGAAAGAGACATAGAAATCTTAACAGGAAACCCTCTCAATCCAAAGCTTCCACAACCCCGCATCACATCGAAGACCAGGATAGCACTGGAGCCAAGAAAAATGACTCAAAGCAATCACATTCACAGTAGACTGATGAAACCATTTGCATAGCAATTTATTCATATACAATAGGGATAGTGTTCTGAGACCTTAAGGCTCAATGTTCTCTCTGCAGTGAAGCTCCTCCCTTTTGCTGGAAGACAGAGTCTATCAGCAAGTTGCTGGGCAAGATGGCCAGTTAGCCATGGTATTACAGGGGTGACCAGACCCTTATCAAACAAAGCACTGCCAGCCTGGCACTGAACCAAGGACCTCATGAATGCCAGATAATATTCTGGCTGCCACGTGCAGTTTTTTCTCTTTTCCTTCTTTGGTTTGTTTGTTTGTTGAAACAGGGTCTCATGTAGCCCAGGCTGGCCTTGAACTCACAAGTGCTGGGATCAAAGGTGTGTGCCACCACTGCTCAGCTTGGCATCGCATTTTAAAAGCCCTTTCTGCTGGGCAGTGGTGGCGCATGCCTTTAATCCCAGCACTTGGGAGGCAGAGACAGGTAGATTTCTGAGTTTGAGGCCAGCCTGGTCTACAGAGTGAGTTCCAGGACAGCCAGGGCTATAGAGAGAAACCCTGTCTCGAAAAAACCAAAAAAAAAAAAAAGGTTAAATTAAAAAAAGAGCCCTTTCTGCCTCTTCTTTTTGCTCCTATATTTTTTCTTTTCTTTTTAAAAGATTTATTTATTTTTTTATATATGAATACACTGTAGCTATCTTCAGACACACCAGAAGAGGGCATAGGATCCCATTACAGATGGTTGTGAGCCACCATGTGGTTGCCAGGAATTGAACTCAGGAACTCTGGAAGAGCACCCAGTGCTCTTAACTGCTGAGCCGTCTCTCCAGCTCTCCTGTGCTTTTTCTATTGATGATGAAGAGTTATCACTTTATGCCCCGCCATTCAGTACAGCAGTAACCTTAATCTGCTCTACAGTTCTGTATTCTAGGCATTCAGACTAGAAAGGGAGGAGATGTGCAGAGACAGGGAGGAAAGAGCCTTCAAAAGACTCCAGAAGAGGGTCAGCTAGCTACCCTGCCCCTCTGGAGGTGGGTAGGAGGCTCCTCTGCCCTGCTGTGCCTCTCCCTCAATGCTCAAAACACCACAAAGCCATGAAAAGCTTTGCATTGGGTGATCACACTGGATACTTGAGTCCTTTCTGTGGTTCGGGGCTTCTGTACTGCCTTAGACCTACCATTTTCGTCTAAGAATTCACATTTCTTTAAAAAGGTCAGAAGATACACAAGAATTAGAAAGGCTATACACAGTAGAGTAGGGTTGAGTATAATCTGGGGACTTGCAGTCTGACTAGGGGATTGGAAGGCTCAGTAGCGGCTGCAGTGGCCTGGCTTCTTCTGTCTGTCACTGGCAACTGCCATGCCCCTCCCTCCTGGCAACATAATGTTTCTTGTGCTCTTATCTCATTTCCAGAATTTGATCATAAATGAGGTCTCTGTGTTCTGGCTCTGCCCTCTCCATGCCAGGTCTCTCTGATTCTAGAAGGACCTCCTCTCCCATTGTCCTTACACAGGAGCAAAGGAATTCAGTGAGCAGTAGCCTAGGTTCCCACAGAGCCACTAAGATTCACATTTCTTCTTGGATCTTGGGAAGGGGAGGAAAGTGAGTTAGCTGGAAAAGGTCCTGAGATGGTGATGATGTGGTCTAGCCCTTACTACACAGTAGATTATGCAGTGCGCTACCATCTCCTCTTCCCAGCCCCACCTCCCTGAGGGCTGACTGAAGAGAAAACCTCCATGCCTCTCAGACTGAGAGTGGAATGGTTCCTGGTGACAGGCTCACATGTCTTGGTTCGCTTAGTCTCCTTGTGCACAAGGATAAATGGGTAGGGCTGAGACTGCAAGACATCCTTGACCAGAATTCGGATTCCCAGTGAGATGCTTATGCTACCCACTGTGACCAGCCCAGTTCCACAAAGGATGACCAGACCAAGAGACAGCTGGTAGTGCTGCTGAAACAACCACAGAGTCATCCATCCTAGAGGCAGAAGGCGGAAGAGGGCTAGGGTGGTCAGGGAGGCCCAACTGCTTACTCTAAAGGCCAGGGATAAGGCCTTATGGGAGAGCAGCAGTAGCTTCCGTAGGTGCAAACAGATGGAGTTCAGCTCCAGAAGTAGAGATACCATAGCGAAGCCCACAAAGTGGCCAGACACAACAGCGATGCTGAGGCAGCTCACTACCTGCAAGCAAGGTTCAAAGTCAGAGGGCTTCGCATGACCCAACAAGTCCCAGCATCCTAATCCTTATATTGGGGACACTCAAGCACTTTCCCCCCACTTTCTGCCTCATCCTTCCAGGTGTCAGCGTTTTAGACATTATTACTTACTTATTTTTATTTATTCACTTTATATCATTTTTAGGACTCTAATTCTGACCTTTCTGCTGACCCTTATCTACAGGGCATGAACAGCCCTGGACCAGAGGCTCTCTCACCCCAAAGCTACACTATTTGCATAGCACACCCTAGCTTTCATTCCTGGCCTTTTCTGTCTCATTCCCACACCCTAAACCACAACTCTGGATTCAACGATTTCATGATCAGCTGGAGATTTGTAGGGGATCCAAACTCCTTGGGCAATGCCCAGGAGTGGCTAGCTGTCAAAACCTCCCTCCAATTCAGTCTAAGACTGAGAGGATAGGTTTTCAGAGGGGTTGGTGAGAAAGTCCGAGGACAGAACACTGAAGAGAGATGTTGGCCGTCGAGTTGGGCATGCTCCCTTTCTATCTGGCCTCTCCCTTCAGAGTCTTACCACCAAATGGTGACAGAGAAGGTCCCAGGCCTGGGCCAATGTCTGATTCCACAGCATGTCAACTCCATCTGCCATGAAATATCCTGTGGGCACCGGAGACGATCATGAGGCTCCTCACTCAGAGCTGATCACAGCCTAGAGAGATGTCTCAGGTCCCACTTTTCTCAGGTCCTTAATTCCTCACAGCAAACCTCCAGCAACATCTGCTCCATTCCGAAGACAGGGAGGGACCTAGAATTCCCGTTCCAACAAGGCTTTTCCTGATTCAGCCTCTTCTGTACACTCACCCACTGACACTGCTACTAGGACCCGTGCCCACGATGGGTGATCATGAATCGGGTCAGTGACCATCTGAGGAAACAGACACAGCCTGGAGAAGATAAAGAGCTAAGGTCAATTTCTCAAAGACCTAGATCCATTCTCCCACTGGGTACTCCCACCCATCTACAACCAAACCAGTTCCAGACTTTGAAGATCTCTCATCCATTCCGAAAGGTACCCACCCAGTGTTCAACTTCAGTCTTCCAGGCCCTCTTCTCCACCCCCTGACCCTCAGTGCTTTGTCAGTCCCCAAGTCCCGCACCCGACCAGCGCCCCTGCTCCAGAGAGTAGGCTGTGTATTAGCGAAACAAAAATGTTCCGCCACATCCAGCGGTCCCGAACAGATTCCGGGGTGGGCAGCAGCTGCAGCCCCCAATGCAGCCCCCGAAACGCCACCAAGGAGGCGCCAGCCACAAGGAGTCCCCCGGATGCCATGGTCTGGCAGGTCAGCTAGGTTTCAGTCTGTTTCTTTGATCCTGGTGCCCGATGCCGGGGATCTCGAAGGGCCCCAGCGGAGTCGGGATCTGGCTTTTCCACCCGGCTGTGCTGGGGCTTCCTAGCCTGCATTATCTTTTCAGCATGTTGTAACTTTTCCTGGCTTGTCCACGCCCCTATCTCTCGGCTGCGCAGTGATTGGCGCAGCTGTGGGGCCACTGCCTGTGGAGCTAAGGGACTGATCCCGCCCCTGCCTGGAGATACCAGTTTGGGGGCTTCCTGGCATCAAGTTCGGCCACTGGGTTCAGAGACTTTCTAACACAACACTAGAGTCTTCTCCAAAGCCACTACTCGCCAAATCCTTTGGAATTCCAGAAAGCCATCTACTTTACCCCAACCTGACAAGTCTGGGGCTCCGCCCCACTAACTTTCACCTTCTGTTCCGATTCCCTCATCTCTCACCTACTGGTCATCCTTACCTACAGACCAGAAGGTACAAGGCCAACGGAGCCAACCTCTGAGGGCTCAAATATTGCACCATCTCACCTTTACCTCAGAGCACGCCAGTCAGGCAGAGCTGCCGTCTGCCCACTCGTAACTCTCTTACACAGTATTCCCCAAACGGAGCAACCCCCCTTTTGGAGCAGTCTACTGGGGAATCCCTTCTTGAGTTCCACTCCCACCCATCCCCCTACGTCACCACTAAGGATCTTTAATAGGTAGAGGAGGCAAAAGGAAGACACTACTACTACATACCCCTCCCCTCCCCAGGCCTCAAAAAAAAAAAAAAAAGCCGACTCAAATAAGAAAAACAAATAGGAGCCGGGCGGTAGTGGCGCACGCCTTTAATCCCAGCACTTGGGAGGCAGAGGCAGGTGGATTTCTGAGTTCGAGGCCAGCCTGGTCTACAGAGTGAGTTCCAGGACAGCCAGAGCTACACAGAGAAACCCTGTCTCGAAAAACCAAACCAAAAACAAAAAAAAAAAAGAAAAAAAGAAAAACAAATAGGATAACAATAAGACTGTTCAGATTCTAAACCCCTTTGGCCTTAAGAGGAACATCCTTTCCAACTGCAAATCCCCTGAAGAGTGACAGGTTTTGAGCATTTCCTTTCTTTCTTACTCTAAGCCACACCTCCTTAGCTGGCTAACAGCCAGAAAGTCAGAGAAATGCTTCCTGTGTGTAGAGAGTAGGTGGATTCAACTAATGAAGTTCATAAAATTGACTTTAGTGGGATGGAACTTGAAAAGGTCCTGGATATCACACACACACACACACACACACACACACACACACACACCCTGGATATCACACACACACACACACACACACACACGCGCGCGCGCTCACTCAAGAAGCAGTAGGTATCACACACACACACACACACACACACACACACACACACGCGCGCGCGCGCGCGCGCGCGCGCTCACTCAAGAAGCAGTAGGTATCCCAAGCAAACGTTTTCACCTGGCACTTGGTGCAGCCCATCCTCCTACAGAAAATTCTCCAAAACTACAATGAGGACTGGAGGGAGAGATGGCTTTAGTGGCTAGGAGTATTTGCTGCTCTTCTAGAGGACCTGAGTTCAATCCCCAGCATCTCTGTCAGAAGGTCCAAACAGCAGGTAGCTCCAACTCCAGGGAATCTGAGGCTCTCTTCAGGCCTCTGCAGAGACCCACACTCAGGTGCCCATACTCACACAAAGACACATAATATAAAATACAAATATTTTTTAAAAATTACACAGAGGGGGTGAAGAGACAGCTCAGAAGTGAGTGCTAGCTGCTCTTGGCAGAGGGTGATGCTGCATTCCCACCACTCACTGGCAAAACATTCATACACATAAAAAAGTAAAAATTTTAAAACATTTGTCTTTTATATTTTATTTGACATATGAAAGCAATATACAATTAATATTAAAACCTTAGAAAGACAGAAAAAAGCAAGGGGAAAATTCACAATCGTACTATCCCACTAAACAAAAACAACCACTCTGAACATTTTGAATCTATTTTCAGTGTTTTTTTTAAATGTATTACAAGTATGCACTCATAGTTTAAAAACAGTCACAAACTCACAGTTTTATAATCTTTTTAGTATTCAATTTTTAATATTTCCATTCAGTTTTTGTTCTACAAGACTTTAGATGACCACACATTAAAGGACCATCAGATGGGTATGATTGACTTAAGCACTCCCCAGCTATAAATTTTCATGACAGCAGAAAAGGAATGGATTTCCAAACAAACAGTTGCTTTCGATTTTTCTCTATTACAACCCTGAGATGAACATTTTATAACCAAATTCTTATTTTAAGATATATTTCTAAGACAGAAAATTACTAGGTCAAAAGGCATCTCTTACAATGGCTGACACTGCCACACACAAAGTGCAGCAGTCTCACTGACTTGTATTGTGACCATGGAAAAGATTTCAGTGACATCTGCATTCTTTGAATTACTAACCAATGCTTTTTTTTTTTCTTTTTTCTTTTGAGACAGTCTCACGTAGTCCAGGCTGGCTCAGAACTCACTGTGTAAAAGAGGATGACCTTAAATGTAGGCTCCTTCGCCACCACCTCCAGAGTGCCTGGATTGGAGGCCTGGGCCATCATGTCCAGTTTTATGCAATGCAGAAGACGGAACCAGGGCTTGGCGCATGTTAAGCAAACATTCTACCAACTGAACTACAGCCCTAGACATAAATAAGTTTTTCCATAGTGTTACACATTTGAATTTCCTTTTGAATTTGTTGTATATTTCCTTTCAGAGGTGGCTCATGTTCCTTGAGGCTGCTTATACACAAACTGTGGGGTAGAGAAGAGATGGGACCATACTTCCTTTAAGTCCTTCATCTCCCAGGGAGGTAGGTCTGGAGAGGAGATGGCTGGAAGTGTGTCTTTCACTGAGGCTGGCTGGCTGTTCTCTTTCCTGGTGTTCTCCAGGCTTCTATATGCCCCTCTGACCAATGTCCGGATAGGCCCTTGTGGCTCCAGGCCAGGTCCTCCACTGTCTTCTGCCTGCCTCTGTTGTCTCCAGGCTGCCCTTCCTCACCTCTGAGGCTCCATGTTGGAGAAGACAGCAGAGCCATGTGCTGAGGGGACACACTGTGGCCAGTGAAGTGAGGAGGAAAGAAAGCGAGCGAGGTGGAGGGACAGGGCAATCTTTGTTGCAGTGTGTGAGCAGACTCAGCCTCCCACCCCATCTGCTACAGTCCCTTACACATCTATCCCTCACCTTAGACTGTATCGGGGCTGGATTACATGATCTAGTCTCCCCTATGGCTTTCAGTTTCTCATAAATGGGGAATAGGCTAGAACTCCTCCCCCTCCTGCCAAATAGAACAAACAGCTTCCTGTACCCCCTGAACCCATCTTCTGTTAGGAAGACTGACAAAGGTGAACCACAATCAGAGACCGAGCCCATATGTGAGAATGAATCAGGAGCTAGAGGCAGCAGAAGGGACTCATATCATACAACCCATCTCCCCTGATGGCTGCAGGAGACAATTTCTTGCCTGCACAGTATTGAGCAGAGTCTCACTATCCTGGAAAGCAAAGGCAGAAAATAAATGGCAGTGGTTGCTAGAACTCAACCCAGAGCTAGTTTTCCTTTAGGTGGAGGGGAAAGCCTTGGGCCACCCATGCATGGTAAGAAGTCAGGAGAGGGCTAGCCTCCCACTAGCTTGCCTGGGTCTTAACCATAGCCTTTCCTTCCATCCCAATCCCCCAGAGCTGGGTGAGTAGTCAGGGGTGGGGGAGGGACAACAATTCATGTGAAGAGCTGTTTCATTTCCATCCACATAAAGAGAAGAGCCCAGGCTCTGAGTCACCACTGGTGGACTTTTGATGCCTTCCTGTCTATTTATCTATGGGGTTCCCCACTGTACGGGTGGAGAAATCAACAGGTGTAAGGGTAAGTACCCCTAAACCCAAAACCTGGACCAATCTAAAAATAAATAGAGAAATATAAATGAACAAATGACTACTTAGATTGGAGTTTCTCAGTGTCCCTTTTTCCTAACTACATTTACTTTTGGACCTCATGGAAAGTAAAGTGTGTGCTTGTGTGTGTGCTCGTTTGCCTGTGTGTGCGAGCGTGCTGTGGAGATGGTGGTAAGATAAGAAAGGCAGGCCTATAAGAAAGTCTAGGTAAACAGACTTTCCTTCTACTTCTTCCCATTGCCACACAGAGATCAACTAACCTTGGGGAGGTGGAGTCACCTATTCCCCAGTTTAGACAGTGCCTTTAACCTAAATCTTTTGCTGGGTCAGTGTGGGTAAGGGCTCCCCAGAGGACCAGGGTTTCCCTCCCGTAAAGCCATCACCCCAGCTGTCCAGACCTTCCCAACCCCAGTTCTGTCACCTTCCAGATGATAGGCAAAGAAGCTGTTCCTCCTCTTCCTCCTCGAAGCCAGGGGCAGAGGGCAACAGTTCTTCAACTGGCAGCTTTAGCTGGGTCAGGACATAAAGCTTGCCACTGAAGAACTACTGCGGCTCAGCCAGGTGAGGGTGTGGGAGGCACAGGTTCCTAAAGGGAAGGGGAGGAAAAACAGGAAAGCTGGGTGACAGGGACAGCGACCCACTGGCCATCCAAACCTAACTCTAAGTCGACTTTCAGTACCTTCTAATGAGGGGTTCTTGAGTAAGAAGCAAGAGGCTTCTAAATGCACTTGTCTTGTGCCCCTTTACAGACCAGGAACTAGCAACTCTAGGCAACCTGTTAAAAAGTTCAGCATCTTCAGCATTCAAAGGGCAGGGTCTAGAACCCAGGTCTCAAGTAAAAAATGACTTGTTCAGCTCAAATGACTTGTTCTTAGGGAATTCAGTTGCAAGGAAGGTTTGTGGAGGGTTAGAAAGGGGAGGGGGGCTAGAGTTTGGAAGGTCAGCAGGGCCTCTCAGGAGCATGAGGGAGAGGACAGCTGACCAAAGGCGGGAGGGGAGGGAGGTATGGGTAGGGTGGCTGGGCAGCTTCCTCAGGACTCTGAGATGCCAGGCATTCCGCTTGCACATTCCGGGTACATCTGGTATGAATTCCAGGCTGTCTGCCGGCCCCTCCACGTCTGAACTTTGTTCCAAGTTCCAAGCCCCGCCCCCACAGTTCCAACGCATGAATCAGCAGGAAAAGCGGGGGGGGGGGGGGGGGACACAGCTCAGCCCGGGGGGGGGGGGGGGGGGGGGCTGCAGCATGGCCCAGGGAGGGGGCTGGGGGCGTGGCAGGCTAGAGGGCTGGGAGCTGGAAAGGGTGGTTCTGCACAGTCAGTCCAAGGGCATGGCCACTGCCAGATAGAAGGGCCAAGGCAATTTTGCCTTGAGGTTTCTATTTTCAGAGAGTGGAAAGATTATGGTAGGGTGGGCGACTTTGAAATTCCAAAAGCCTCTTGGGAAGCATAAACTTTGTGGTATCTTCCTTCTCCTAGGTGATCAGTCTCTGTTCACTTCTCTCTGCTCAGGATGCCTCTGTTCAGGCCACAGGGTTCATTGGCTGCTGAGAGTTTGTGCCAAGCAGGTGCCCTTGGCTGCCGGGCAGGGGTGGGCCCAGGGCACTGACCCTCTGACCAGCTGCTCCATCAACCCTCTGGCACCACGACAGCTTCTAGCCTACTTTGACAGCCAGGATGACAGGCCAAATGAGTTGGAGGCTGAAACTAGGGCCAGAGGGAGGTGGGGACATTAGCCTAACCGGAGGCCGTGGGGAGGGGCCAAGAGTTGGCCAGGAGGTGGGGAGAGAGGGAGCCCAGCGATGACTAACCCAGGCGCCCCACCCAGCCAGCCGGCTTCCCAGGCGGTCAGGCCAAGCCGGGGCTAGGGGCCTCTCTACCGGACATACTGGGGGGAGGTGCAAAGGTGACCTTCTCTCTGTCCAAGACGGCCAGTTAGGCTGGGAGGGGGGGTGCGGGTAGAGTTTCCAGGCACTCCTCCTGTCCGCCCCCCCAACCTCCGCCCAACCGCGGTGAAACCCTAACCTTTGGGTTGCATAAGGCCTCCGCACCGCCGCCCCCTACTCCTTTCCCCTCCCCCCTTACATAACATCCCCGGGAGGGAACGAGAGGAGGGGCCGGACCGCCCAGCGACCCCTTCCCTGCCAGGGACTTGAACTGGCCCTGACCCGGTCAGCGCCGGTAGAGGCAGTGCACCTCCGCACCACTCACTCGTCCAGATCCTCCCTAGGCTAAATGGTCGGCTCCCGCATTCTTAAACCAGAGGGCGTTGGGGTTAGACGCCCCCGGCCCTCTGGCCTCTCATATTCCTCCCCAGTTACTTCTCCAGACCTTCTGCCACGACTCCTGTCCCGGACTTTCTCTTTAAACGTCCAGGCACACTACTCGGGCGAGTCCAAGCTCCTCTCCCAAGAGCGCCCCGGTCCTCGCCGCCCCCTCTCCCCTCCCCCAGAAGGGCAGGGTGTGGTCGTCAGGACCCTACTTTACCCCATCACCGGGTTACCGAGATTCCCCGAGGAACGACCGGGTCCCCAGCTCACACCCACCTGATGCTGGGTGCGGGGGTTGCTGAGGACAGAGGACCAAAATCACTGCGACCTCTCCGCACGGCCGACCGCTCTGTCTCTTCCCAGCGCCCAGCACACACCGGCTCCAGTCTCCGATCAGCTGGCGGCGTCGTGACGCACGAGCTGCGAATGCACCACCCAGGGCCAATCACCGCTCACTGCTGGGCAACGTGACCACACCCACTCGGGAGTGCCAGCTTCTCTGCTTACTCCCGCCCATTCAGGCGTCTGGGCTCTGATTGGCAAGGAGGCCACCCCCTTGCTTGGAGGAGCAGCGTTAAGCCACGCCTACCAACTAACCAGCTGGCCAATAGCTGAAAAGGTGTGGCTAGCCCTCGGCCTAGGCAACTTGCTTAGACCAGTTCTACGTCAAACTACAGTTTAAAGAGTAGAAGGAAGTGAAGGCGTGTGTTTTTGCAGTGCATCCTGGTCAATGAAGTTCTTACGGTGACACTCGGCTTCCCAGAATACTGCGCGCTCTGTGAGTTGGCATTTTTAAACCGATCTCTGAATCGGTCGCGGGGAAGTCCTTAAAGGGCTACAGCCCCTCCTTCTTGGAGCTTCTTTTAGACAACCTCAAAACTGATTCACCCTCCTTCACAGGACGCCTAAGCTAAGCGAAGGTGGAGCACGCGAAGCAACAGGAGTTGGTAGAACTGAAGATGGGAGCCAGCCACCGATGCAGCAGAACTCCCGAGGTCTTCGGGGTATAGGGACCACTGTCACTCGCACAGGCCCAGTCTTCCATGGAGATCTAGTTCATTCCTCGTGGGTTTAGTGAAATCTTTTCTAATAAATGTCTCCTCCTAGTCGCCGAGGAGTCCACGGCCTCTCAGGGGGCACTTTCCTAACAAAGGATTCATATCACAGCCCTCACTTTTAGAAAGAAGTTTTTTGTTTTTTTTTGTTTTCGAGCTTAGGGAATGATCTTTACCAAAGTAGTATCAGCCAGAAACCCCATCCTAAGATTAACTCCCATTCAGTCCCACCCTCCGAAGCGCTTCTCCGACTCAGGCCTACTTAGGGAAGTGATTTCAAAGGTGGGGACCAATGAAGAGGCGGCTCCTTCCCTGGGGACCAATCAGAGAAAGGCGGGGGATGGGCAAAAAAAAAAAAACCGAAATGAACCCAATGACTTGGCAAAAGCTGCTGAATTGCTTATTTAAAGGAACAAGCCTGGGACCACCTCATCACTCCCTCCCCACCCTCAAAGAGAAGCTTGCGGCCTGGGGTTCATGATTTTTGCATCATATCGAAGTTGAGGGTGAGGGCATCTGAGCCGAAGGAATGAGAGGGGAGCCTGAGATAGCTCCTTCTGTGTTAATTAAGTATGGGCTCCACTAAGGTGACTGCTAAGGTTTCTTCAAATCCTGAGTTCAACTTTCAGAATGTTGTGTCTTTAAGGAGACTTCCTGCCTTCCGCCCCAGTAACAGCTGATTATTCGACCCCAGGGGACGAATCAGCCTTAACCACATCCTCCTTATTGCATTGCATGTCCTTCTACATCTCCTTCTTTCTGCCCTCCCCCCTCAATGAGGCCATGGGTGGTGATAGAAGGTAATGGAACCCCAAGCATTCGGGGGTAAAATTTATCTTTTTCATGATCTTTACTCCATCACTCCAAGAGTGCTGCCTCCTCCTAACATCTGCCCCTTACTTATTCAGAGTTCTGAGAAGATTGGACCAGAAGATATTTCCTGTCACCACAGTCAATTTAGTGGGGAGGCCACTACTGGGGAGCCTGTTATGGTAGCCAGCTGAATGTGGGTGCTCCAGAGGCTCCTGGAGAAGAAACAGGGAAACTGAGCACAAGCCTACAAAGGGAAGGCTGTGGAAAACAAGGCTTGTGGGTCAGAATCTTGTTTCCTAGACCAGCTCCCCAACTTTGCTGCTTGCTCTCTTCCTTCCTCGGTCAGGTCCGACTGATGGGGTCCTCCTGCCTTTATCCACTCACCCCACTTCTAACTTTTCAGACGCCACTTATCTTTGACCTTTAGCCCACTCCTGAATCAAGCATGCCAACATGTTGTTAGTTCAGGTACTATAGGTAGAACACACCGGTCCTAGAAGCTAGAAATCCTACAGGAAGACCCAGGTAAACATGTTGTCCCAGCTCTGAGCTGGAGTCAGGGTCACTCCAGGACAAACTTAGTGTGAAGTCCCAGGACTGACTTGGCAGGATTGGGGGAAATTGAGCAGGTCTCTGGCCAAGCTTGGAAGAAAGCAAAGTCTCAACAAGCTGCCCTATTCTCCATTATCCCTAACAGGAGCCCCAGTCCCTCCTCACTCAAGGCCTCTGTGGTGGCCCTTCTGATTTGATTCTACCCTCTACCCTCCTCCCACCCACCTCAAGGCCAAAAGCACAGGGTTTCAGCCGGAGATTTCTCAACCTTAGCATTGTTGATGTTTTGATCAAGAGAAGTTCTTCTGTACATGGCTGCCCTGTGCAGACTAGGAAGGTCAGTACCACCCTGGGCTCTACCCTAGGTGCCAGCAGCACATGATCCCAATTATAACTACCAGAAGTGTCCCCAAACATCCCCTGGGGAGTCCAAATTCACCCTAGTTGAGAACCACTGAATTAGCCAAACATTCCAATTCCAGTGCTGACAGGCAGTGAGCTTAGAAATGATATTTTCTTCATCTACAAAACAGTGTAGATAATAAATTTGTGGTTTCTTGTAGGGGGTTAAGAAGAAACTTCTTGAAACCACTTAGCATAGTACAAATCTAGCAGACCCACAGTTGGCACACAGGATGTCAGCTTCTTTCTTGCTGACCTCACTTGCCATGGGCTAGTGGCCCACAGGCAGCTGCAGTTTTCCTCAGTGACTAGCTAAAGTGGGTACTTCTGGAAACACAATACTGAAGTAGGCGAAGGGAAGTGACTAATGTTCCGCCCCAGAATCTGCAGACCCCATGGGTGCTCAAGCAGGGAATCCGAAGATCACAGCTAGGGTGAGGGAGAGGGAAATAGGGAGAGCAGTCACAGAGCGTGATTTTAATTATCATTATTATTGTTAATGGGAAACATATGTTTTGTCACTGAGTTATAGCCACGTGCACCCAAAGCCTTCCTTTTTCTAGATGGGTGTTGAATAATTGTTCATCAGAGTTCTACTATGGCTACGACTACCACCACCACCACCACCACCACCACCACCACCACCACCACCACCCAGGGCGCTCGACACAAGTGCAGGCTCCAATGTCTCATTCCATTCTAAATCAGAAGTACACCTTTAAGGTTTGAAAAGCCTTTCTTGGAGCTGGGGGAGCTAGTTCAGTGGTAGAATACTTGCTCAGCTAGCACGCACAAAGTCCTGAGCCCCCAAGATAATAAAGCCAAGAAGTTTCCTAAAGTTCAGATGGAGGAAGGTGTAGTGGCCTAGAAATTTCTGAGCCAGGTCCTAGCCTTGAAAAGACATCCCGACTACACAGAGAAACCCTGTCTTGAACCCCCCCCCCAAAAAAAAAGAGAAAAAAAGAAAAGAAAAAGAAAAAAGAAAAGACATCCCAAGAGTAGGCAGAGAGAAAACAAGAGGTAAATTGAAATACATTCAAGATCACCACTGTAGTATACAGCCAGCACCACTAGAGGGCAGGGAATACAGACTTAGAGAAAAAAGACGTTTTTGATCAAGTAATAATCTAAATTTTGGATAACTGAGACCAGAGCAAAGAGCAGGCCGATCCAGTTCTGTTGGTGGCAAGGTCATCCTAATGGGTCTTCATGGAGGGTGGTGATAAGGCACACCTGAAGCCACAGCACTCAGAGACGGCAGGCCAGCAACCACAGCACTCAGAGACTGCAGGCCAGAGACCACAGCACTCAGAGATGACAGGCCAGAGCATCCTGAATTCAAGACACACCTTGGATATATATTACAATTCTAATTTTTAAAAACAGTTCCTGGGTTCCACCTCTTACTTCCCAGGTGTGTGTGGGAATAAGCAAAAAACAGGCAGAATCTCTGTGTCCTTCGGTTTCAGGCTCTCTTATCTAACATGAAGATGGAGAATTGTCCTGGACCATCTTGTTTCTCATTTGGAAGACAATAATGTCCAAGCACAAGAATACTTTAATTAGTTAATTAAAATGTTTTAGTTAATTAATTAATTTAAGGAGAATACAAGCTTGGTTTTATGTACTCTCTCTTTCCCTCTCACTCTGAGACAAGATCTCACTGTGTCACCCTGGCTAGCCTCGAACTTTCTAGGTAGACCAGGCTGACCTGGAACTCACAAAGATTCTCTTGACTCTGTCTCTCTAGTGTTGGGATTAAAGGCAAGCGCCACCATGCCTGATTCTCTCTTTAAAAAGAATTGTTATGCCAGGCGGTGGTGGCACATGCCTTTAATCCCAGCACATGGGAGGCAGAGGCAGGCGGATTTCTGAGTTCGAGGCCAGCCTGGTCTACAGAGTGAGTTCCAGGACAGCCAGGACTACACAGAGAAACCCTGTCTCGAAAAACCAAAAAAAAAAAAATTAATTGTTTTATGTGCATGAATATTTTGACTACATATGTGTATTGCGCCATATGGGTGCCTATGGCCCATAGAGGCCAGAAGAAGGTACTAGGTTCCCTGAAACTAGAGTTACAGATGATTGTGAGCCACCCAGTATAGCTGCTTGGAGCCAAAGCCAGGCCCTCTGTAAGAGCAGCCAGTGCTCTTAACCACTGGGTCATCTTTCTAGCCCCTGACTTACTTATTTTTTTTTTATTGAAGTGAAACAATAATTATTTCCATAAACTTCACTTATTTATTTTTTATTTTATGAGTATGGGTGTTTTGCCTGTATGTGTGTCTGTGTACCATGTGTGTGCAGTGCCCCTGAAGGCCAAAAGAGGGGTTATCAGATCACCTGGAAACTGGAGTTATAGTATGTATTATGTAGTGCTGGTAATTGAACAGTGCTCCTCTGAAGCTCCCTCAGTGCTCTTAATCACTGAGCCATCTGTCCCTTTAACTTCACTTCATAGCTACATAAAAATATGCTTAGAAGTGACGTCGGTAGACGTAGACAGTGACTCAAGGGGAGCTACAAGGCTTTTCCTACTGCAGTGATTTATGGGTGGTCTCATG